CACTTAGCATACATGACTATTTTAGTCTTAGCATGTAATATTATTTGAGTTTTAATATAAGATTACTTTATTTGTAATTAGACTTAGTATGTAATTATTGACTACGGAAGTGGTGCGACAAGTAACAATTGACTATTGTAGTCTTAATTAGACTTAGCATATACGCACGAAACACTTAGCATACATGACTATTTTAGTCTTAGCATGTAATATTATTTGAGTTTTAATATAAGATTACTTTATTTGTAATTAGACTTAGTATATAATTATTTACTAGCTAGGGTTGTATAATATACGTCACCTAGACTTAGCTTATATCACGATTTGTAATTAGACTTAGCACGTAAGGTTGTGTAGGGTTCTAATGTACGACATTTACACTTAGCATACATGACTTAGATTGTTAAAACATAAATGTCTCGTGACTTAGCAGATGTTTCTTGTATCAACAGATGGCTGACCGCGATGAGGAACAGATATTGTACGATACAATCGCGGAGGGAAGCAGCCAGTACTGGAATGAAGAAGAGGGGAACGAGGATCCAAACCAGTACTTGAACGAGGAAGGGAACGTGGAGAGGGATGCGGAGGGGAACCAGCAGGGGCACGTGGAAAGGGATGTGGAGGGGAACCAGGAGGAGGAGGCTAGTGGTAGTCAACCCTCCGTTGGACAGAAGAGGGCACGCGGGCAACGAGGTGCAGCGAAGAAGCTTGAGGGTCGGCACATCATAACGGAAGTGGAAGAAGATGGACGTCCTAGTGCCCCGGCCGAAGCCGCCAAGAACTATGTACGTCACAGTGATTGGGTTGTGCGGGATAACGTGCCTGTCAGTAGGGTGTACTGGCGAAGAACAAGGGCACGCGGAGATCATGAGAGCTTTGTCCCAGATTCGGAGAAAGAGATGCTGTGGACCACAATGCTCGAGACATTCACCCTTCCTGCGGGTACAGAGGACAAAGTGAAAAGGTGGACTCTGAAGAAAATGGCAGAACAGTTTCAGAGCTTCAAGGGAGATCTGTACCAGAAGTATATACTGAAGGGGCAGACACCGAACTTCGACACATTCCCAAAGCTAAGGGATCACTGGGACGAGTTCGTTGCATATAAGACAGGTGAACAAGGGCAGGCGATGATGGAAAGAAACAAAGAAAATGCCAACAAGAAGAAGTATCATCACCACTTGGGGTCAGGAGGCTATAGCGTCGCGATGCCGAAGTGGGAGGAGATGGAGGCTAGCTTGATTGAGAGGGGTATCGAACCGGCAACAGCCAATTGGCCGGAACGATCGAAGTTCTGGTACTATGCTCACGGTGGAACGCTCAACCCAGCTGATGGCTCACTGGTCTTCGGCGTTCAGATACGAGAGGCTGCGCGACGACTAACAGATGCAGTGGAAGCCTCCTCTCAGGGCACGTTCCGACCCGACAGAGATAGGGACGAGCTGACACTCGCCCTGCAGACTCCAGAGCATCCAGGACGAACACGAGGGAAAGGGGTGATTCCTTGGAAGATTGGTTTCAAGGAGGACATCCACACGTACAGGAGTCGGATGAGGAGCAAGAGAGATACCAAGGCGAAGATTGCAGACCTAGAGTTCCGGGTATCGAGCTACGAACTCAACATGCAAGAGGAGGTGGCAAGGAAGGTTGATGAACGCATGGCCGCACATCGGTCCCATGATCCCCAGCCGACCATTCCTCCTGCAATGGTGAGCCCGTCAGGAAACCGTAGCAGCTGCGCCTCAACGGGGCAGGTAGGATCACAGAGCATGGACGCCATGCAAACACAGGACGAATCGACCTGTCCCGTTGATGACATCACTCAGCGGACACCATGTGAGCTGCATATTCCTTTGAAGAACTTATCAATAAAGGTAAGATTTAGCCATTCCGCTAGTTGCTGCTTATATATGTTGATTACTAATAAATAATCTCTCACAACATGAAGGTGGCGTCGGGCATGGCCATCCCAACGGACCCTTCAGGTACTTACCACTGCAGGCCGATTCCAGCAGGATACTCGAAGGTCGAAGTTGAGTTGGTCGAAGGCGCGTACGAGGACCTCGAGCTGGATTACCCTGGAGGAGACGGTGAGACGCATCTACGAGACACAAGCCATGCCATTATTCTATGGCGCAGGCGGTACATCATCCTCCCTGGGCGACAAGCGGCGTCTCGTGCACCATCTCCTCCGGCTCCGCCATCTCCTCCTCAGGATCCTGCACCGTCTCCTCCTCATGCTCCGCCAGCACCGACTCCTCCTCAGGATCCTGCACCGACTCCTCCTCGGGCTCCTACACCTACTCCTCCGCAAGCTCCTCTTCCGGCACCTTCAAAGTCAAGGGCCCCCCCAGCTCCATCGCCTGCCCACACAAGGGCAACGAAGAAGGCGAAAGTTGACGCCGCCAAGAACAAGGACCCGGGGTACGATTGCACGCAAGAGGAGCTTGACGCTTACGTTGCATCAGAAGTCAAGAGACAATTCAAGCCTCGAAGTCCAGAAAAGAAGATTCCTATAGACCCCAGTGTCAGGAACTTCTTCAGGGGTATGTCTGCATCTGTCAAGGAGGCCATCAAGCTATCGGACTATGAGCGAACGCTGAAGAAAGCATCTTCTGGAAAGTCCAAACCAGTCCCTCAGCTTGGAGAGCAACCAAACCAGGAGATCGAGCCGTTGGTGACCGGTAAAGAAATGACGATAGAACAATTTTTTACTGACACTGGTCTAACTACGGATCAATTGCTAGGAGTCGCACCAATCGAAAAGGCGGAAGTGAAATACATGTACGAACTCGGTAAACCGCTTGTCAAGCCTGAGCTGCTGCAGTCCCTACCCACACAAATGTACAAGTTCCATCAGCTGTACATGGAGATGAGCGCCACCGGTAGAGAGATGATCGGAGCGAGGATCAGGGACACGGACTTCTTGCAAGGAGATGACATTCTCTGGATCAATTTCAGGGGAATCTACGAACTATACCAGCTGGACGCCCTCGACGTCTCTATTATGAGTTGCTGGATTTTGTAAGTATATCGTTCAGTTAGATTTCTTACTATACGTCTCCTTTAATTAATTAGGTCCTTGTATATAAGTAGACTATAGAAAATAATATACTCCCTTTTATCGTTGTAGAATGGAGATTCAAAGGGCCCGACGGCGGAGGGTTTTCGATACTGGATTCATCGACCCTCGGAAAGTAAACGTCGCAATGCTCGACCAATATCCACAAGAAACAGAGGACAATCTCGTCCATCTCCTGAAGGCGCAGCATTACAAGACGTTCATACTGTTGCCATACAACACAGAGTTAGTTTAATTTTACTGTCTTCCTACATACCAAATTTCATTCCCGTACGAACTTGCTAAGTGTTTCATATGTAATGCATCCCACGCACATTGCAGATTCCACTGGGTGCTTTTACTCTTCGACCTGTCGGCCTGCACCGTCAATGTATATGACTCAATGGATAAAAAAGAGTCTACGTTTGACAAGGTTTTCGAACTTATAGACAGGTACTGGCATAAGTTTCTCTGTTAATTAAGAAATTCTTGTTATGTTAATTATTTCTACTACGAATCATATCTTTAAACTCCATGTAGGGCTTGGCATCGGTTCCGTCATTTGGTCCGTGGCAACTGGAGAGAAAGACTTAGGCGGAGGTTCAAATTTCCTGTGAGTACACATGCTCTACATTTATATTTCTCCGATTCAAATTAATACATACAACTGTATATTAATTAGATCTCACGCCGTTAATTTGTCATTTATTTGTAGTGCGCAAAGCAAAAGCAGGGAACTAACTTGTGCGGCTACTACGTGTGTGAGTATTGCCACTGCCTTGCAGACCAAATCATCACCACAAGAGAGCTCGATGTACGTACAAATAAATTCAAAATTTCATTACGTAACGATTTCTTGTTTAATTACTAATCAATTTCATACATTCGTATAGTTTATTCGCATGAGGGATAACCTGACCACACACAAGGAATTTATCGCGGCGGTTCAAGAACAACTCATGGGATTCATCAACGAAGAAATCCTTGATCCCAAGGGTGAATTCTACTACGACGGAAACACAATTCACCGGTCCTTAGCTTCTGAGCTAGCAGCGAGTACTACTACGTCGAAATCGTAGCTAGCTAGGACATATAATGGATTGTAATTAATACATGACTACATATGTTTCTATATGCATGTGTACACATTTTCTATAATGTAAATATATTTTGGTCATATATATATCTATATACATATGCATTTGCATAACATATATATATGTATAAATACATATATATTATGCATGTATATACATATAATATAATATAATATATATACATATATATATGTATGCATATATATGTATTGAAACATATATATGCATGGTTTATATATATATATATATATATATATATATATATATATATATATATATATATAAACCATGCAGCAACAGGGCCATGCAAAAAAAAAAAGGTCAGCTCGATCTTTAGTCCCGGTTATTTCACCCGGGACTAAAGATAGCGATCTTTAGTCCCGGATTGTCCAAACCGGGACTAAAAGGGGGTTACGAACCGGGACTACAAAGGGTTTCTCCACCAGTGAATCTTACGATTTGTTAACTCAGGGTACGTACATATGCTTGAGATAGTAAGTTCGATATATATATATATATATATATTGCTTTTTTTAGTTGATCTGGATATAGTGTGATCTTGCATGCATGATAAACTGCCACCTGATCGAGATGTGATCCAAACTGACGTACGCATAACCGGAAAAGAAATACAGATCGATCAATGCGAACCCAAAAGCTATCGTAAAATTTTTAAGAAATAGACATCTAAGACTTATTAATTAATGTTACTTTAAGTAAAAACTTTTACTCCTGATTAGTATATTTGCGTGCACTTGTGCTGCTGTCGTTATTTGATGCCGTTTGCATGTGTTAGGCTTCCTTCAGGCGACGACACCAGCAACAAGAGATCATCAGTGCAGATGGCGACGACGCTGGCGAAGGTTGGGCCTTTCGGTGCGGGTGGCACCCCTGTCGACATTGACCACACCTTGCCGCCAGATCACCTCAAGAGTATCAAAATCTGGTACGACGAAGATGGAATCAACGGCTTAAAGTTCAGCTACCTCCACGCCGCCAACAAAAGAAAGCTCACCACCACTCGCGTTTGGGGCGACGATAGCGGTAGTAGCGATGAGGTATGTATATATGTGTTCTGCATGCGTCTGCTTGCTTTCTGATTTGTTATTCTCCATTTTTAAAATGTACTATGCCGTTAATTTTTTTTTCTAACGTTTAAACTTTCACCTTATTTAAAATATTTATATAAAAATAATTTATTTTGTTAGGATTTTTTTTATCATCAAATAAAATAAAATCTTAACTTATAATTTTACATACTTGCACTAAATTTTTGAATAAAATAAATAGTCCAACGTTGTGTGAAACGTTAACGGCGACATTAATTCTGAAATGGTGGGAGTGGTCAAACGTTAACTTAGCTAGTCCCCTGTTTCAAAAATGAAATATGTTTCTGTTTAAATTTTGTATAGAATCAAAATTTTTAAGCACGACTAATATAATTAAGTTTATAGAAATAATAATAATATTTGTAACATTACATTAGTTTTATTAAATATCATTAATATTTTTTACAAGTATGAAGTGATATCGGTCTCTAAACTTGTCTAGGTATGTCATCTAGGTTTTGAACTCTAAAAATGTATTTTCGGATCTTCAAACTTGTTCTGATTGTCATATAGATCCAAATGAGCTCCAATACGATCCGTGCGCTAACATGGCTTGTTACGGTGGCACTTATATATCAGTTGGACAACCAACACATTAGTCACATGGGAAAAAACTAAAATTAAAAAACATCTTTTCATAATCACATGGAAGCAGGTAGAAAAGAAGTTTTTAAATTTTATATCTTTCTATGTGACTGACATATATATGGGTATGTAGGCAGTACCATATATTGCTGCGTTAACACGTAAAGCGGGGTTGCTACCTGTTTGAACCTATACATCACAGGGCAAGTTCAAGTTTGAGGACGACCTGAAAATGCATTTTAAGAATTTAGGAAACTAGATGACATATACCTACATAACTTTAGGGAGCGTTCTTGCACTTAACTCTATTTCTTATAACACATTTGTTTGGTCATTCTATTACATTTTTTCTATGAATAAATTTATTCAAATTAAGAAAAAAAAATTTGGCTTAGCACCAAACTAATTAACAAACACCTTAATTACGTTTTGGAGCGGAGAGAGAATTAATAGTTAGCACGCATCGATAAATAAAAACACTAATATTTTTTTCCTCTTGCAGATTAATATTGAAGATGATGATGATTACGTGAATAAGCTGGAGGGCAGGACTGACGGCCGTACAAAAATCAAGTCTCTCAGAATCACGACGAAAAACAATAATAATCCCGATTGGCTCGGGGACAAAACCAAGGAGGGCGATTATTTCAGCGTGCCGGTGGAGGATGGCCAGATCGTGGCGTTCTTCGGCCGCACCGACCAGTACATCAACGCTCTGGGCGTCTACATCCTTGGTACCCCTTACCAGCAATCCACCCCCTAGATCGATCGATCCATCCATCCACACACATATATTAATATAAGTAAATGTCTACTTACATGTGTGCATTAATTACGACAATAATCGTAAATGCACGCATGCAGCTAAGGACGTTCCGCCGTCAGTATAGTCATGCATGTGTGCACGCATGCATGGCTCCTGTATTTTATTGGTGTGGCTTTCGTTTCCTTTTCATGTATGTGTGTACGTACACCAGGCGCTTTGTATCTGCTTATCAGCTGTACACATCGTCCGTCCTGGTTGTTTGGCTCGTATAATGCAACTATATATGTGTGGTAATGAATAAAATATCAGAAATCAGCAAGCATATGGTATGCTAATTTGTTTTCTGAGGTATCAATCAACCCGTCTCAACGCTCCTTTAATTTGATTACAATTAATATACTACTTCCTCCGTTTCATATTAAATTGTATATATTAATATGAAACGAAGGAAGTAAATTATATCCTCCGCCTTTTATATATTCTTTTGGAACCCACCTCAACTCCTGCCCCGCCGCCTATATGCCGTCGAAAACCATATGCTCACGAATTGGCATGAGTACATATATATAAAGGGCAATGGTCCGTTGCACCGAGCCGGTATGGGTTTTCTGTTACATGGACGTGGACGTGTGGATGTTGTTCTTTTTTTTTTCCATGATGTTTTTTAATTATCCACTAATATGAAACTATTGAATTCTGTTGAATTAGTGATCGATATGCACCTTCTCTTGGAATCAGTGAAATGAAATAACATTTTCTTAATATCTAGCATTTTATTTTATTTTATTTTCTTGTGAAAAAAATCATCCCCGGAACCAGCTCCAGCATGACGCATCATCGCTTATTCTTTCTTTTGTGCTTGAGGCACTATATGGAACCACAAGCACGTTGTCAGAATTAATCCCGCTGCACCGAATAATTAAGCTATCTTCTGGGCAGAGCGAATAAGCTGGCCTTTTATGGTTTTTAATTACTTGATGATTCCCCTAGCTAGTTGTAAATGCCTGGAAGGCTGGAAGCAGCATCTATCCGCCCCAACTCTGTTACTCCTCCATGCCAAAATACTTATCTGTATAGTAATCAAAAGTTTTTCCAAAATAATTGTCACCTTAGAGTACTACCTATCACATAAACCACTTTCAATTCAAATTTCTCCCCATTCTACCCCTAACCACCATCCTACATCCAAATGTACATTATTTAATAAGGGGTATTATAGTCTTTTTATCATAACCTTAATGCATGCTAAACAACCTAGAATGACAAGTTTTATAGGACGGAAGAAGTATTTCAGTACGCTACTTAGAAAAATAAAGTACTTGTAGTCGGTCGAAATCGGTCTTCTCAAACAGACGCCTGGTCTACCTGTAGGCCAAGGCCTGCAAAAATCACCGATTTTCATTGGTGGACGGCCGGTCTGCTTGAGAAGATTGAAGAGAACCCAGGGCCCCGCCCTAGGAAGAAGGGTAGAGGTCAGGGCCACCAGCGGTAATAGTCAAGGCCGCCACAAAATTTTAAATCTCCCGCCAAATTTTGTAATAATATTGTAATTAATTAGTTAATTAATACATTAATACTATTAGGCACTAACAAACATTTAATATTGACATAATTACGTACAATGTACAAGTGAAAAGTATCGTCAATACGTTACAATATTTTTACAATTGTCATTCCGAATGCATTATCTAATTAATGCATTATGGCATCACATTGTTCCACTCTCGAAAGAACTTGTACCCATCCATCTTTATGACAACAATCGCGATGGATGAAATGGCAGAGATGCCGCTACATATTTTTAATGTCTTCATCGTTAAAGCTAGTTCGACGTACGATTCTAGGTAACTGCATGCACGAAAGAATGAGAATATATTAGGCTTTGTTCGGGAGTGAGGGTTGGGAACCCTCACTCCCCGGGACGCAAAACGAAGCAGCGTTTAGCAAGTGATTAATTAAGTTTTAGTTATTTTTTTAAAAAATGGATTAATATTATTTTTTTAAGCAACTTTTGTATAGAAACTTTTTGTAAAAAAACGCACCGTTTAGCAGTTTGAAAAGCGTGCGCGCGGAAAACGAAGAGGGGGTTGGGAACAACTGGGAACGAACACAGCCTTAGTATATCATTTAGATGTGTAATTATCCATTGGACTTATACGTTGAGTTGAGAGACTTATATCCTCTGGGTTGGTCCTGTACCTCCAATTAACCATGGGGAATTCGCATGTTTAATATCATTCTAGGTTGCTTGTGACAGTTCATGATATAGACACAGAAGGAATTTCTTAAAAATTGCAAGTAAAAGAATTTAAATACATTAAGTGCGTGGAGTATTTCTGGCTAGTATGTATGCACTGGCAGTTTCTCCTACGGTCTTACTAGCATTCACTTTTGTACTAAACATGTATCTATTAATAATATATCCATGCCAAGAATTGACTATACTTGATGGACGACATGACAACCGCTTCAGTTATTTCATCGGTGGTATCGCAACCAATCTATAAAGAGACGCTTGTATTCTTTTATGATCCAGGCGTCTCTTATTGTTAACTCTTAGTACTTTTAAGTGTTGGTCGATGCAAAGCTCAACAAGCTAATGAATAAACTAATGTAAATCCACCAAGTATAAATTATGATTAGTAGTAACTAATCATAGAGTTAAAATGACCCTTAGCCGACAACTAATTAATGAATAAACTAATGTAAATCCACTTGTACTCTCAGCCAAAAATTTTTTTATCATAGATATCAAGAAAATAAAGGGGCTACGCTTTTGAAGTTCCATTTTTAGAGTCACAACTAGTTTCATTGAACAAAATATAGATACAGTTGCATCCAACAAGCATAGGATCCAATCGTTAAGAAAAGATGAAAAATCACATTTAGGAAATACTATCATCTAGACAAAGCGACACGAGCGTGTGGCCAAAATATAATATTAAGCTAATTAGTCATCTAATTAGCTTTTGTAAGGCCTAACTGAATTAGAGGTCCAGACCACAACCCATAATTTTTCGATCGATGAAGATGTCATAGATGATGAGCGTCGTAGTTATATAAGGGTCGGACATTTTAGTTGTGTGTATAGCATTTTCCATAAATTAATTGCCAAGTTGTACTCGGCGGCAACGGCAGCAGCGCCGGCCATAGCTCGCGGGGTGTTGCAATCGCTGCTAACCAAGCGGTGTGGAAGGAGGGGATAGAGAAAAGAGATACGAGAGAGCTGACATATGGGTTTAGGGATATTTCTATTATTTCACATGATTTCTCTTTTCTTTTCAACCGAAAATTATTATTTGAATAGGTGTAATGTCCACTATTTATAAATAGTGTTTTATAACTAAAACCATAAAATCACAGTAGATAATATTAAGTGGTTCCAAGTGAAAAACTCAGCTAAAACTTAGCCCAAAAGCTACAGCAAGGGTAAAAATACATTGCCCAAAATAAGATTTACTCGAAGTATTGCTTTTATTAGGGTCTAACTTGAAAGGAAATTCCCCAAATTTCGTCGTACTCCTCTGACGACTCCGATGAGCCGCCACCGCTCGCCGTCCCGGTCCCCGCTGGACGACGACGACCTCCTCGGCGAGATCCTTCTCCGCCTCCCGCCCATTCCCTCCTCGCTGGCCCGCGCTGCCTGCGTCTGCAGCCGTTGGCGCCGCCTCGTCTCCGACCCCGCCCTCCGCCGCCGCCTGCGCGCCCACCACCGCGACCACCTTCCCCTCCACGGCTTCTTCTACCACAGCGACCACAGCGCCCGCCTCTGGCCCATCCTGGAGCGGCCGGATCGCATCCCGGCGTGGCGCGTCGCCCCCACGGAGAAGCTGCTCCCTGGATGGCAAGTCCTCAGCTGCTCCCACGGTCTCGTCCTCCACAAGGATCGCGAGAAGTTCATGGTGCTTGACCCCGTCGCCGGCGAGCAGCACGCCGTGCCCTTCCCCTCCTCGGTGGAGGACACATCCGGGTTCGTCTTGGGGATGGTGGTTCCTTCACGCCGTTCTTCTTCTTACCGCGTGGTGGCGCTCTTCGCCGGTAGATCTACCAGCACAAGAGTAGCCGCCTATGTCTACTCTTCAGAGTCTGGGAGTTGGGGTGATTCGGATTCCCCCATCGCGACATTGGTTCTACCATCAAAGGCCAAACATCGAGCCAGGCATGGCACCATTGTGGGCAGTGTGATTCACTGGTTTCTTGATGGACACAAGGTCCTTACGTTTGATTTGGAGAGGCAGATTCTAGCCATCATCGAGCTGCCGCCGGAGGTGGTGAAGGATACGGATTCATTCTATGAATTTCGGTGTCAGATCATACCAGCACTAGATGATGGTGTTGGTGAGGTTCGTCTTGCCGTTCTAGCTGATCCTAACATGCAATTCTGGGAGAGGAAGAAGACAGGGGGAGATGGGAGTGGTGCCGCATACACATGGGTGCTGAGTTCAACTGTTCGGCTGAACTTCCCTTCCATTGAATCAATCAGGAGTGATCTGAAATATCAGGTCCTGGGGTTTGATGATGAAAGTAATGCGATCTTTATATGGGTGCAGAATGTTCTTTTCATGGTCTACCTCAGGTCGATGCAGAGCAGAAAGGTGTTGGATCATTGGCCCCCTGCTGACATCTTCCCTTACTCAAGCTTATAAATTGCAAGGTGTCATATCCTCTTTAGACTGACCAAATTATTTTTGTAATAAGTTGTCAGATTATTTTATCTTTTTACACATGATTCAATTTTGAAGTGGTATGTGGTCAATTTGCAAAGTATCTTCTTCTATGCCAAATAGACCTATGAAATGCCCACTTAATGATCATCTCTGTTTCTCCATAAATAACTAAATGATTTAGTTCATCCATTCTATGCGTGCAAATAGATATAGTAAGTAACAGAATGAAAGGCTGGCATGTTCTGTTCTAGAAAACATGATTATGTGTCTTGGAGTCCTATTAGAAATAATGAACCTAAATAACGAACAAAGCAGTGTCTCCTATGCTGGAAATTTTATTCATGCAGGATGCTGCCATTTTTTATATAGACCATCACCCTCTCTTGTTATGTGGTGTTTTTATTTTAATATAATTAACTGCATTTTCCTTTTTACAAACAAAATCAATAACTAGTGCATTTGTAACCTTATTATTGTAATATCATTGATTAGCACCAATACTCTGCTTTTTTTCCAAGAAAAATTGTTACAACTTTGTGAATTATGAGGTATATTTTGGAGATGATTTTGAAAAGAAGACATTGCTACTCCTAAGTTTTGTTATCTTCCAGATAATTATTATGACCATGCGTACTGGTTATATTAATGATAAAGTGACAATGAAGCAATGCCATGTAGTTCTCTATCATTTTTGTGTAGACTATTACTAAATTGCAATCTATAGTAAAGGAACAGAAATTCATACTTATCAAATATGAACTTGACATGCCCAGCTTCTCTATACTGTGGGACAGCTTATTTTCTAGTCAATGAGTTTTGTGTATGCATTCACTCAATTATTTTGTCCTGGAGTAGAATGAGAACTGTATATGCCAACATTGTTTTGGTTGCTAAGGGTCTCTACATATTTAATCAGTTGTGCAACTTTGCTTATTTAAGTGACAAGTCTTAGCCTGCATAGCCTTCATTATAAGCTTAATTGTAGTATTATTGGACCTAACTGTACAATGTGACTGATCAATTTATGACAATAAAGGGCATCGTTTGTTCTAGTTTTGGACCTTTGGCATATTTTATTGAGTTGTTTTTTCCTTGCTTCTAGATGGCAGCTCGTTGGTGTATAACAAGATGATTGCACCTATGGTAGAAGATTATATTCGACCATGTAGTCTGTCAGAATGGTAATCTAGATGGCTGCTATGCATTTGGTATTAGTTGTAGGAGATAGTGTATGCCATTCAATGAGCTAAATTGGAAGCATGCAGATACCATGGGAAAATAAACTGTCATATTTTGTGTTGGCTGCTTATTGACAATATGATATGTAGTGCACTTTTAATCCCCTTGTGTTTGGGTGCCGACTATCAATTTGGTAACCATGTGAACCTGTGACTTGATGCTTCAATTCGTTGTGTAAAACTGAATAGCCAGGTCTGCTGTCGCACTTGATGAAGCTTGCATGGCAATATGCTGTCCATGAGTACAATGGTTTATATGACTACTGTTCCCTAAGAAATGTTAATGGAGTGATGCAGGTCTTATTGCTGATATGCTGATCATTTAAAGGGCACTGCATGTATGAACTGTGAAGTAGTTGTGTAACTGGTTGATTGCAGATATGTGATGCCACTTGTCTTCTACCGACGTCTAATGTGCCCTTGATGCTTAGATTGACTGCGTGTACGGCACTATGTGATGAAGCCTGCGTGCTGATCTACTATGCTGTCCATGCCTAGCTATATGAGTATAGCTGTTCATAAAAGTACATGTTCATGTAGATCTTTTCCATATGTGAAGTACAGCTCACTGGTTGCATCTCTGTGAAGCAACTTGAGATTTTCTGTTAGTGTGCAAATGTCCCGTACGTGATCTCATCGTTTTGTGCCATTCCAAATTTGTTGGTGGTTCAAGATATGCGATTGCAGAGTGCTCAATAAAATTAGCTCCGGTGCAAAGGATCATTCTTTTGTGATACAGCCACGTCAGGGGGACAAAGACAACATCTAGCTAACTGGAAGAGCAAGTTTAGAATTGAGCATCTGCATTGCAGCACTACTGGTCTACTGCACGCACTTTACGAAAGCACCTGGGGCATTTCATTATCCTCTAGCTCAAAAGTCACGTCTAATGCCACGTGAGACAGCGACTAGGTTAAAACCACCACGTAGGCACAACAACAGTGAGCCCGCCCTCCAAAACTGCCAAGGGAGCAAAATTACACCGGTTTAATAGTTAGGGGGTCAGAGATACCGGGTATTGTGATACAGGGATACAAATTAAATTCGGGAAAAAGTACACCTAAGGTCCCCCAACTTGTCATCGAGTTATAAAATCGTCCTCAAACCACAAAACCGGCTACAACGTATCGTCCAACTTACAAAACTAGTACAAAACTAGTCCCTCGGCGGTTTTGACCCCGGTATTGTTTCACGTGGCGGCTGAGTCAGCGTGGAACCCACGTGGGCACCACATGGCAGGGTGTCCCCGTCAGCTCCTGCGTCTCTTTCCTCTCTTTTCTTTCTTTGTTTTTCTCCTCCTTTCCTCCCTCTCGCTCTCTGCTCGTGCATAGGCGGCGGCGCGCGCGGCCGACGACGGCGGCTCCCGGGTGGCGGCGCGTGGGCTCAGGGCGGCGCGAGCTCGCCGGCCTCCCCGTCCCCCTGTGTGGTTGGCGATGGCGGCGCGCGGCTGCGGCCATCATCACCGAGATCGATTCGACGCCGCCGCCATCAGTCGCTGCCGTCGGCGCGCTGCAGTGGGCCGTCCGCAACTTCATCCGCGCCGGCGACTGCATCACGCTGCTGCACGTCTGCCCGTCGGCGAGGTCGCGGCGGAGGCGGCGCAGCCTACGCCTCGGCGGCTTCCAGCTCGCCCTCGCCTTCAGGGAGCTATGCAACGGCATCGCGGAGGTAAACCAATTAATCAATGGTGGTAGTTGGCTCAACTCAAAACAAAGAAAGAAGCAATCATCTTGTTAATTGTGAAATGGTATGCAGGCGAAGGTGGAGATAGTGGTTAGGAAGGGGGAGGTCGGGGAGACGGTGTTGGCGACGGTGAACCAGCTCACCGCCACCACGCTCGTCATCGGTCTCCACGACAAGAGCATGTGGCGTGTCGGAATTTTATTTGCCGTGGCCGCAGCGGCGGGCTGTATCGCGGGGTGGTCGGCGCTTGAGCTGCTGGAGCATGGCGACGACGACTGGATTCCGACCTTCCCCAGCTCAAGGCTCAGCCTCGTGGTCGCCATCTCCGCCTTGTCCTCCTGCTCGCCCTCGCCGCCGCCTCCTGCCGACATAGCACAAACGAAAATCAAGCCCAAGGCGTTCGATGTGCATGTGATAGACGGCGGTAGGCAAGGTCGTCGCGCGGATTTACTACTACTCACCTGCGTAGCATGCGGAGGCGGCGAGGCCTCGTGTTGTCCGGTTGTGGCGCCGGCCATGTCCGCGAGAGCCATGGCGGCGTCGAGCTGAGCGGATTGAACGCCATGGCAGCGTCGAGTCTTGGAGCATCCTGGGCGCGGTGAGTGGATTGAGGGTGATGGTGGCGGCGTATTGGGGAGGCACATCGGAGCGGGGAAGGGATGACCCAGTCGCGGGGGGAGAGGAGCGGGGAATCGACGGCGGCGTCGAGGGCGTGGACCTGGCCGACCCCCTCGTAGCCTGCAACGACGGCGGGGAGGGGAGGGCGAACGGGGTAGACGCCCTCGACGCGGTTGAGGTCGGAGGGGTTGATGGGGGCGGCCAGCATCCGCACGCACACATCGCGGTTGCCGATCTCCGCCGGCGGCAGCTCAGCCACCCTGAGGACTTTGTCGGGCGGGCCGTGGTGGTCGTAGAGGACGGCTATGGCGGGCGGGGACATCGAGGCGCCTCGCCCTTGCCGTCGTCGTTAGTCGCTTCGTCGTTGACGCCACGGCGGTGGCATTGCCTCTGCCCGTCCCGGCGCAGGTGGAGGCGACTTCCGACCGACACTTCCGACCGCCTACGCCGCTCCCCATCGCCGTTCCCACGCGCAAGAGATGAGGGAGAGAGAGAAAGGCCGGGTAGAGAGATAAGGGGGAGAGAGAGCTACACACTGACATGTGGGTCCCTCCATGCTGAGTCAGCTTGTCAATCGGGTCAACACGCCACGTCGGATGAAATCGTCAGCAAAACTACCGAGGGAGGTGATTTGCTCTGGTTTTCAGAGAAGGAGGAGGCATTATACCCGGTTTTCCGGTTGAGGGCACACAAACGCAAGAGATGAGGGAGGCAAAATGGACTTATTCCTTCACACCACCGTACTTGGTGTAAGGCTGGGCCTTAATTGGGTTGAGATGGGCTGGCCACACGCTCCCCTTGTGAACTCCGCCGATATCCGGTCGATCCCCTTCCACGGAATAGGACGGTGGTCGCAAGGTTCGATCAAGCTTCCTCCTCTTTGCACTTTGCTTGCTGGTTTTGATTTTTGGATTCCTTCCGTTTGCGTCTGGATTCATTGATGGCGGCGGCGACGGGGTACGGTGACGCCCCGACCGCCGACGATCTGGCCGCGTACGACCAACTGCTCGGCCTCCGCCACACTCGCCACATGGCGGAGGTCTTCGCCGTGCGCCTGCCGCACGCCGCCGGACTCCGCAGGCCGCCGCCCTGCGGCACCATCAGCTTCTGCGGCGGCAACCACTGCAACGACGTCATCTACAGCCGCAGCCGTACGGACGACTCCACCTACCCACCGCCCTGCGACACCCATGTAAAACTTCCACCTTGTAGGCAGCTAGGTAATCTCATTCAGAAACCGGCTTTCATGCATAAACCATCACACTTAATTTGTTTCTTGCTTTCAAATTCTGAAATATAATATATCTATAATAGTCAAAACTGTAAAACAGAGTCTAATCCTGCATAATGTGTAACATGACCCAAGGAAATGAATCCACAAGACTAATATTCCGATCGAATGACCAGTGATTCCGAATGAGCAATTCAGGATTTGTGTAGCTCCTCAATATGTTCCGGACCTGTAATTGTTGGTGCTGCATATTTTCTTATTTAGTGCAAATGAAAACCTCAAAATTTATGAAATCGTATTTACAACTAGCATTCATATTAATCAAGAAAGAAATAGAGATTAATTTTAGTTTTTAACCAAAGTTTCGTTTTGGTTTAGCATATTTTCACTCTGGACACCCTTTTCAAACATATTCACTTTAGTCCCATTTTCCTGAATACCCTTTCGCTTTGGGTATATAAAGGACACCAATGCAACGGCATTATCGAGATGAGCATGACCAAGGTGCAGTTTGTAGGATCAAATCACAATAACTAAGCCAACCAGAGAGGGGTGAATGGTTGGTATACCCAAAAACCGAAAACTTTTAGCGGAAATAAAAGTTACCCTCGAAATTGACGGAAGTCGGTCTGACCGAGATTGATCTGTCGGTCTGACCGAGTGGTGCCGTCGGTCTGACCGAGATTAGATCTCTAGTCTGACCACCGAGATCAGCTACCGCTCGCTGTCGCCGCCGCCGGTCTGACCGCCTCGCCACCGCCGGTCTGACCGCCGCTTGCCGCTGGTCTGACTGCCGGTATATCGCCGGTTAGACCGCCGAAACCCGGTAAAACACAAATCGAAGAACTCTTAAAGTAGATGACGACTTTATTGATTCTCTCTGTGTTTACAAAGTGCACCAACAGCACTCCCTACAAAAATTTCGACTAAACTCGAAACCCTAACTCAAAACTCAACTCAATTGCTCTCAAAAGCGATATCGGGAAGCATCACGCTCCCCCTCTATTTATACCCGAGGTAGGCAGCCTAAAGCCATGAACCAAACTTATACTAGGAGTGCTAAACACCTTAGGAAACTCTCTAGTATAAGAAACAAACTTTACATAACCACTCATACCAAATTTGGACTCCTTCCGAATTCGACTCCGCATCCCATATGCACACAATAACTCCATCGTATGCCATATGGAATCTCCATCAACCATGTGCATCAACTCTAGCCTAAGTATCCCGCATGATCTCTGACCACCAGGACGTCGTCTTATCCCCAAGCTGACTCCCGGTCCATCACCGCAAATACTCTCCCGAGGCATCGAGTCACCTACACATGAAATAAACAAAGAAACCATATTCCGAGACCAAGCTATCACAACTTGAGTCATTAGCAGCAAACAATCGTATAGTATCCATCTAGAAGCCATAATCATGAAATAATCACGGATATCCAAACAAGCAACCCAAATCCGAAACCGACACAGCGTCGGCCGGTCAGACCGCGGGCTAGGCCGGTCTGACCGCGCGATACACGCCGGTCTGACCGGCTACTAGAGCCCGGTCTGACCAGTCACATGAAATAACAGAACCTGCGATTCACCTATAAATCCAATCATCTCCAAAACCACTTCGTGAATAAATTCTAAATATCAAAACCAATAATCTCCGATGCCAATTGTTCATCACAGAATAATAATCAAAAACACCTTTGATTTTACAATCTCCCCCTTGATGAACACATTGGCAAACCCATCAAAAATGTTTTGGTGTTTGGAAAAAAAAATAAAAATAAAAGTGGTAAAAAGCACACTTCGTACAAACGTACATATCGTGCTCAAAAATTCAAAAATCCAAAAGAAAACTTCTTCCCCTTTCTAAAAGAAAGAAATTCCCAATTGAACCAAAAACATGCTCTTCTTAAAAAAAAACTCTTCGCTTCTCCAAAAATTCACCTTGCTTCTTTAAAACTCATCTCTTCTCCCCCTTTTGACAATGATTTCATCAAGCATAGGAATTATGTTCTTTAAAGTATAAGAGCTTAGCATACATATAGCATATCAAGTCATGTATTGCAATAAAAAGAAGATAAGCCCATTTATAACATAACAAGCATGCATTAAAGTATAACCATAAAATAAAGATTTTACAATTAAGCTTGAATCATCAATCAAAATTCATGATTTCATACGATTTATAATGCAATATCTTAACAAGCACATAGGTTGAAGAATAAACACTAAACACATATACCTATTGCATTTATCACTCTTTCTCAAATAACCTTTAGCACAAAACAACAAAGAGAATTTTTGAACTTTTTCTTTTCTTGAGCCTTTTTGCTTATATTTTTCTCTTTTATTCCGGGTACGTCCCTGTCATCAAGACTGTTTCCAGGGATTCGGCACCTATTATTTTGCTCACATCGAATACGTCCTTGTCATCAAGACTGTTTCCGAGGATTCGGTATTCATTTTTTTTATATTTTTTATTCTCTTTTTCACAATGAGCAATTAAAGCTATTTGAGGAATAACAATTCAATAAAGCATATATATAGAGCATTTATAAATCAAACCATATGCTAGCATCAACATTGCATATTTACTTAATTCAAGTATAGAATTTAAGTGCCATGCATCATCGCCCTTAAAAGCAAAATCTAAATCTCATGAAAAGACTAGAATACATACAAGCTATGCTAGAGACAAATAAACCTTCAAAATATTGTTAGCATGCACAAGAAAATACCATATGCATAAACAAAGCTCTATTTTCTCAATTTTTCTCATTGTCATATTATTGCTTGATAAAACCATGAGGTACAAACTCCCCCTCAAACCATGCCAAAAGGATGAATTATTCCCAATTCACCACGAAGAAAAGCAAAACGATTAGAATCGAAAAGTTTAGTGAAAATATCAGCAAGTTACAACTTTGTGTCCAAAAACTGCAATTCAACATCTCCTTTCTCAACATGATCCCTCAAAAAGTGAAAACGAATATCAATGTGCTTTGTGTGTGAATGTTGAACAGGATTCTTAGCAAAGTTAATAGCACTTGTATTATCACAAAAGAGAGGTACTTTCTCAAAAGTAAGACCATAATCTTTCAAAGTAGATAAAAGCCAAAGAATCTGTGAACAACAACTAGCAGCAACAACATATTCAGATTCAGCAGTTGATTGAGCAACACTAGATTGTTTCCTAGAAGACCATGCAATCAATGATGTACCAAGAAATGACATGTTCCACTAGTATTTTTCCTATCAATTCTACAACCCCCAAAATCAGCATCAGAATATCCACTTAAGCATATAGAAGAAGAAGTAGAATACCAAATTCCAAATTGAAGTGTATGATTCAAATACCTCATTATTCGCTTGACCGCTTGACGATGTGAAGCACGAGGAGAAGCTTGAAAGCGTGCACACAAACACACAACAAATTGTATGTCTGGCCTAGAAGCAGTTAGATACAACAAAGATCCAATCATACTTCTATATTCCTTTTGATCAACAGCTTCACCATCTTCATCAGGATCCAATACAGCTGTAGAACCAATTGGTGTTGAAATTGGCTTGCAATTCTCCATCTTGAACCGCCTCAAAAGATCCTTCGTATACTTCGTTTGATGCACAAATGTACCTTGAGATGTTTGCTTAATTTGCAATCCCAAAAAGTACGATAACTCACTCATCATGCTCATCTCAAATTCCCTGCGCATAGTCTCAGCAAACTCTACAACCAAAGCGTGAGTTGAACAACCAAAGATAATATCATCCACATAAATCTGAACAAAAAGTTGATTATCACCATGCTTAAGAACAAAAAGCGTTTTGTCAACCTTTCCCATTGTAAAACCTTTCACAAGCAAAAAGTTCTTAAGTCTATCATACCATGCTCTAGGAGCTTGTTTCAAGCCATACAAAGCTTTAGACAATTTGAAAACATGGTTGGAAAAATCAGGATTTTCAAAACCTGGTGGTTGTTTGACATAAACTTCCTCCTGTATAAAACCATTTAGAAAAGCACTTTTCACATCCATTTGATACAATTTAAAACCTTTTGAAGCAGCAAAAGCCAACAAAAGTCTAATTGCCTCAATTCTAGCAACAGGAACAAAAGTTTCATCAAAATCCAAACCCTCCACCTGAGTAAAACCTTGAGCAACAAATCTAGATTTATTTCTCACAATTAAACCATCCTCATTTTGTTTATCTTTGAAAACACACTTGGTTCCAATAATATTATGTCTAGAAGGTGGTTCAACTAAAGTCCAAACTTTGTTTCTCTCAAAATTTTCACGTTCTTCATGCATGGCGTTAATCCACGATTCATCAGTTAATGCATGTGACACATCTTTGGGTTCAAAAAAAGCAACAAATGCAGAATTTGCACAAACATCATGAGTTGTTACCTTAGACCTTGTAGTCCGCTCACCTATATTACCAATAATTTGTTCCGGCGGATGTTGTCGTTGAATGTGCAAAGGAGCAGCGACTTCTGAAGTTGATCCACGTTCTGTATCAGTACTGGTCGAAGTAGTAATCTCTGGAGGACCATCTCGATCAGCATCAACAGTACCTGAACCCGACGTCCCTGGCCGGTCTGACCGCTCCTCCTGAGGCGGTCTGACCGGAGTTTTGCCGGCGGTCTGACTGGCCTGACGCCCGGTCTGACCGGCCGAGCCGACCTCGTCGTCGTCGTTGTCGTCGCTCTCGTCTTCAAAAATACGACCATCCTCCCCCTGAACCTGTGACTGTGTACCTGCAATATCGGGTCTAGTTCCTGGACTAGCCTCATCAAAAAAAACTTCGCAAATCTCAATGATTTTGTTAGTCTCCAAAATAAGTACATGATAGCCACGAATATGTGCGGGGTAACCAAGAAACAATCCATCGGTAGAACGTGCCTCAAACTTATCCAAATTTCCAGATTTCAAGAAAAAGTACTTGCAACCAAAAACACGCAAATGTGAAACTTTGGGTTGATGTCCAAATCGAAGTTCATAAGAATTTTTTCCAAGTTTAGATCTCAAGAAAACCCGGTTTGAAATATAACAAGCAACGTTAATAGCCTCAGCCCAAAATTTTTTAGGAGTTTTATATTCATCCAACATCGTTCTAGCCATCTCAACCAAAACACGGTTTTTCCTTTCAACAACACCGTTTTGTTGAGGAACACGTGGAGAAGAAAATTCGTGTTCAAGACCTTTTTCGGTGCGAAATTGTTCAAAAGAAACATTTTTAAACTCACCACCATTATCACTTCGAATTCTTTTCAAAGAACCAGGAAATTCAAGATTCAATCGAAGAAACAAACCACGAAAGTATTGAAAAGCTTCGTCCTTAGTTGCCATAAAGAAAACCCAAGAGTATCTAGAAAAATCGTCAACAATAACCAACACATACCACTTTCCTCCAACAGATTGCACTCTAGCTGGACCAACAGTGTCCATATGTAATAGTTGTCCTGGTGCATCCATTATCACAGAAACAGTAGGAGCATGTGAAGAAGCAAACATCTTAGCATGACGACACGGTGTACAAACCAAATCAAGATCTTTCTTAAGTTTAGGCAAACCACGAACAAGATCCAAACCACTTAACCTAGTGAGATGATCAAAACAAACATGTCCAAGTCTACGATGCCAAAACATCACATCTTTATCAAACTTAGCAACCAAACATGTTATCACAGGTGAAACAGGATTTTCAAAATCAGTTTTAAATACTCTTCCATAGCGAGAAATATTCAACACAGAATCACCACAAGAATCGAAAACTTTACTTCCAGTTTTCTTAAAGTGAACCTCAAAATTTTCATCAACAATTTGTGAAACCGAAAGCAAATTGTACTTTAAGTTCTCAACCAAAGCTACATTCTTCAATTCAAATTTTTCATTTACCTTAACCAAACCTGTAGCGAGAATGGCACTTGTAGAGGCATCACCAAAGATGATCAATTCAGTCTTTGATGCCTTCTGAAGTGAGGAGAACCAATTTTTATCACCGGTCATGTGCCGCGAACAACCGGAATCCACGATCCACACGTTTTCCTTCCTTGCCACCAAAGCCTACACACAAGCAGAAGTCGAAGCCTCAGTACTGGGGTTAGAAGATAATAAAAATTTAGGAATCCAGTACTGAGACACATGACCAGTAGATCCAATAGGCATATATCCATGTGCAAAATCAATTTGAGAATTTTCAGAAAAATTCCTCCGAGGCCGGTTTGACCGAGGTATAGTGGCCGGTCTGACCGGGGGCCGGTCTGACCGCTTCTGTACCACCGGTCTGACCGGTGCCCGGTCTGACCAACGCTCAGTACCGGTCTGACCGGTCGCCGGTCTGACCGCGGGACACACTGCGATCTGACCTGTTTCCTCGAGGGAAAACCCGATTTTTGCCACTTTAATTTTGCAAAAGCAATCTCTCTCTCCTTTTTCTGTTTGTGAGCTAATCTGAAACAAAAACCAACAATATGTCCATCTTTTCCACAAAAAGAACAAGTATATTTTTCACGATGATTAGACACATTGGTAGCATTAGAAGATTTAGCAATACCAGCAACAACAGGAGATTTTGCATGCACAACATTGGATTTTGAAGAAGATGCATTCAAGGTAAACATGATACCAGCAGATTTAAACACAGTTTTGTTAGTATCAGGTTTAACCAAAATCTCACCACTTCTAGCACCAACACCTAACACAACAGGAGGATGTCTAGAATTATGAGCATAAGGATTAAAACCTAAACCATGGTTATGTGTGCTAATCTTTGATTCATCCAAAATCATGTTGAGGTTCTTTTTACCATCAGAAAATCTTAGCAAATAATTTTTCAAACAAGAAAACTCTTTTTCCAAATTAGCACAATTTTCACAATCTACCATGACACCTTTGCTTTTACGACATTTAGGGCAAGAAAGCACTTCATTGTTTTTCACAACATCTTCCATGAACTCGACACGACCTAAAGCATCTTTCAATTTCAACTTATTCAAATTACATGTTGAGCAATCCAAAACATCATGAGGTTGTTTTAACTTCTTAGCAAAAATCATGTTAAACATCAAACTAGCATGAAAAGCAATTTGATATTTTTGCAACAACTTTTTAGTTAAAAACAACTCATCCAAAGTGCGTGTATGCAAGGCAAAACTACAAGCAAGAGAAGATCTATTTTTCAAATCATGTGCAGCATTAACATCTTTAATTTTTGAAATCTCATTCATTAAAACCACACAATTTGAGCAATCATCATCATTAGGAATAAGAGATTTTAACCTATCAATTTCAGATTTAAGAGATTCAATGATAAATTCCTGTTTTCTATACATCTTCTCACACTTCTTATTTTTTGCACTCAAAATATTAATAGCTTCCTCAAAAGCACTTACCTCATTATCTTCATACTCTGTATCCGATTCACCACGCGCCATGAAACAAACACCGGAGATGTTCTTTCCCTTGTCATCATCTCCACTCTCACCATCTACATCACTTAGTGGCTCGAAGGCGGCGCAAACTTGTTAAAAAGCCTTCCTGAGATTCTCCAGCTTCCTCCCTTGGGATGAACCCTTTGGCTTGATGTTGTTGGTCTTCTCCAAAGTCAAAGTAGACATGTTAACAGATTCCTGAATAGATGTAACTTTCATCTCCCAAATAGACATATCAAGACCATTCAAAAAGTGACGAGAAATCTCAGATTGTGGATAATTAGCATCATAAGAAGAATCAACAGATCTAAGATCACTCAAAATTTTATTAAACCTAGAAAGATAGTCATCCAAAGCTTCTCCAGGTTTCATCTCAAATTTAATGTACTCCTTTTTGAAAATATCACGACGAAGTTCTTTAATGTTTTTTGTTCCTTGATGAAAGTTATTCAAAGCATTCCAAATTTCATGAGCAGTTCGAAAATGCGCAACACGATCATAATCCGAACGAGAAATACCACTCAAAAGAATGTTGCGAGCTTTGCAATTTTGTTCAAAAACAAATTTTTCAGCAGCAGTATTAATAGCTTCAGGAATCACATAAGGATGAGAAACTTTTCTTCAAATATCATAAACTTCAGCCATAATGTAAGATTGCATCCTACTATACCAATGAGAAAAATCCGTTCCATTGAAAACATGAGGCTTAGTTGAAAACCTAACAGGAGTAGCCATGGCAAAAACTCTAGATCGATAAAAATCTAAAGAAGAAACAAGGCTCTGATACCACTTGTAGGATCGAATCACAATAACTAAGCCAACCAGAGGGGGGGTGAATGGTTGGTATACCCAAAAACCGAAAACTTTTAGCGGAAATAAAAGTTACCCTCAAAATCGACGGAAGTTGGTCTGACCGAGATTGATCTGTCGGTCTGACCAAGTGGTGCCGTCAGTCTAACCGAGATTAGATCTCCAGTCTGACCACCAAGATCAGCTGCCGCTCGCTGTCGCCGCCGCCGGTCTGACCGCCTCGCCACCGCCGTTCTGACTGCTGCTTGCCGCCGGTCTGACCGCCGGTATATCGCCGGTTAGACCGCCGAAACCCGGTGAAACACAAATCGAAGAACTCTTAAAGTAGTTGACGACTTTATTGATTCTCTCTGTGTTTACAAAGTGCACCAACAGCATTCCCTACAGAAATTTTGACTAAACTCGAAACTCTAACTCAAAACTCAACTCAATTGCTCTCAAAAACGATACCGGGAAGCATCATGCTCCCCCTCTATTTATACCCGAGGTAGGCAGCCTAAAACCACGAACCAAACTCATACTAGGAGTCCTAAACACCTTAGGAAACCCTCTAGTACAAGAAACAAACTTTACATAACCACTCATACCAAATTTGGACTCCTTCCAAATTCGACTCCGCATCCCATACGCACACAATAACTCCATCGTATGCCATATGGAATCTCCATCAACCACGTGCATCAACTCTAGCCTAAATATCCCGCATGATCTCTGACCACCACGGACGTCATCTTATCCCCAAGCCAACTTCCGGTCCGTCACCGCAAATACTCTCCCGAGGCATCGAGTCACCTACACATGAAATAAACAAAGAAACCATATTCCGAGACCAAGCTATCACAACTTGACTCATTAGTAGCAAACAATCGTATAGTATCCATCTAGAAGCCATAATCATGAAATAATCACGGATATCCAAACAAACAACCCGAAACTGAAACCAACACAGCGTCGGCCAGTCAGACCGCGGGCTGGGCCGGTCTGACTGCACGATCTGACCGGTCACATGAAATAACAGAACCTGCGATTCACCTATAAATCCAATCATCTCCAAAACCACTTCGTGAATAAATTCCAAATATCAAAACCAATAATCTCCAATGCCAATTGTTCATCACAGAATAATAATCAAAAACACCTTTGATTTTACACAGTTTACGGTGGTACACGGAGAGTAATCTTGAGGATGTGGAAAAAAAAGGAGTCCAAACTGAAACAAAAAATGTATAAAAAAAGGCAAAAATAAAAATATGGGCTAAATGGTGGTGTAACATTGAACTTCGTAAGGAGTCCAGTTTGAAATTTTCACTCTTAAAATTATTTTTGTGGGATTCAATATATTTTTATGAAAATCTTGCAAAATTCATGCTTCCAAATAATGTCTATGCTAGTTTCAATTGGATTTTTTTTCTCCCAAAACAGGGCAACATCATGCTAACTGGTCCATCGTTTGCCACCTCAGCATATGCCCCCATCATCTTTACCCTTTGTCTCCATGACGGTAGCCAAGAAGAGGATAACAATGAGAATGAGGTGGAGGTAATATACAATACCTGCAACGGTCTCTTCAACAACTACAACAGTACCATAATCGAGACAGTCAACACTGGGTATGGTCCCGCTGAGGTGAGCTACGCTGTGCTGACCAACGCCGTTGAAGGACAGGTCACAGTCAAGCTGGTCCGTCGAGATGAACACAACGACCCCACTGCAATCACCGGTGTTCTTGGGAGGATCATCACGCGCAGCAAGCTCCTCAATGTTGGTTGTGTCCTGTTCTACAGCGACTTTGGCAGCATCCCACACATAGGATCAGACGGGTTGATCCCATTGGCGAGGCGTGCGCTTGCAGTGCCAGCTATGATGCCGTTGGACTTGCGTTCTTCTTCCGGTGATGAGATTGTCAGAGCTGCAGTCGAGTTTGACCCTACGACTAGTGATCAACATGTGGAACGTGTTATTGGAATGGGTGGTCATGAGATCCAAGTGACAATCTCATGGTTGGACTTCCCTTGGTAGTGCCCTCATGACCATTTACTAGTATAGCTACTCATCTGAGAGCACTCCAAAGTAGAGCAATTTGTTAATCACTATTAGTGGTGCTCTTATCATTTCTTACCATTTGAAAAGGAGACTTTACTGAATAACCGTCACTCATCTTCTAGGTTCGATTGAACCATATGGGACGAAGCGGGAGAGGGAGGCAGCGGGCATGCCGGTCACCGTGGGTTACACCAATCAGTCCCTGTGAGGTAGCAAGGTGATATTGTATGGGAGTTGATGTGGGCACGACATGCCGCACCCTTCCTATTATTTCGGTTGACGTGGGCATGTAGGAGGCTGCATGCAGGGCCACGTCCTTGTGGTATATGCAGATGAGTTGTTCTCCAACTGTTTCATCTTGCAACATAAATCATGATATTGGTTGGATTCAAAAGTCTGAGCCCACTTGGATAGGCGGAGGAACCCAAGGCGAGCCCGGAGCAGGATGCATGCTAGGGCCCCGAGACCCCTATGCTATACCCCGGGGCAGCCACATGCCTATGGCACAATGTGTGTCCGGGGCACGAATTTGGCCCAGGGTAGTTGGATTTATAGCTTTTCTCGTTACTTCGGATAAGCTTCTCAAAGATGTCATTGATGAACAAGTTCTCAATGTACACCGCCTGTGGAGGGTGCACCAAGTCACCAGCTGTCTCCTCAGCACCTTGATATAGAGCTTGTAGGTCTCAATTCTCTTCCTGGCACCTTGGTGATCTAAATCTTGTGGGTCTCTAGAAGGTGTAGATCTTGTACATCTCTTCAAAAAGTTCAAAACCTCTATTGCCCCAAAGACCCCGGAGGGCTGAGGACCCTAGTCCCCGTTCCTCCAACACATGTGATAAAACCTTAGGTCGCAAGGAAGAAGCATATTTGTGACGGGTGCTTATTTCACCCGTCAAAGATAACTGACACCATAGACGGTTGGGGACTTGATATAGAGATCAGAGCAGCTCGGCATAGAGGGTGCTCTAGTGTGGAGGAGATAGCTAGGGTAGGTGCTCGCAGTAGAGGAGATGGTGACCCACACTTAGAGTGGAGGAGACGATGGCTAGTGCTCCGAATTGGAGGACGGGGTGGTAGCGCTTGGATGCATGCAACTTTCGGGAGAAAGGCAGATAGACGAGAGAGGAAAACAGAGAGTTCGAGATGGGAAGATGAGGTCGATCTAGAGAGAAAGAAGAGAGACCTGAAGGCCATGTTAGGTGCATGTGATGGTATGAGAAATTGGCTTGTCAGAGATAATATTTTATCTTTAATAGGTCATTCAGATATGACCTTAAATCTGTAGCATGTCGTCCTCGTCGTATCTCAAACATGTCCAACCCATCAAAGATGAGGTCATGTGACATGGATCACATTGATCCGTCATAGATGCATGTTTCTGTAGTAGTGGGTAGGAGAGGGCACTAGGGCAGTTGGAGCACATGTAGCAAGTGAGGTGGTCGTGATGTTGTCGGAAGTAACAAAAATGGTTAATTAGATCCATGCCACTATAACTTTGACGATTTTGAAATATGCCATTACTATTTATCAATTTAGAGGCATGCCATTATAATTCTATAGTTATTTGAAATATGCCACTACTTACCTTTTCAATGTAATTTCTAGAATTTTTGGACCAAATTACCCTTCTTCCTCCTTTCTCCCCTCTCTCCTGTTCATCTTCTCTACCAACTAGATCCCTCAGCTACTAAGCTGAACATCAAAGCAGCAGGTAGCATGCCTACTATGTGGAAGCGGAGCAGCTACTGTGGACCCAATTATCTAGGCATACGCAGCAACGATGGGTCAAACCAACAACTACTCCAATCACCAGGACAAGGACCCAATATGAATTAGCTGTCATGTTGCTACAGTGTTGCATGTATCAATATCCACCAAAGCACTTGATTTCCCATAGAAGAATTAAGATGCAGCGGAATCAAATTGGTGGCCTAAGTTACTAGCCGGTCGTTGGTTGGTCCTCGGACGGCTTGGCTTTGCGACGGGCACGGCAACGGGAGGGATTCGAGCACCAGCTGCAGCACCTCGTACCCGACCTCCGCCTCCTCGCTGACGAGGATATCTCCCACAGCTCTAGTCTGTCACCCATCGCGTCGACGGCCCAACGTGTGAAAATGCCCCGCAGGAAGGGGCTCGCGCAGAGAGCAGCATCAGTGCACCGGCTGGTCGGCATCACTGGGTGAAGAAAGGGGATGCATATGTTGGAGAAGAAGAAGAGGAGACGGAGGAAGAAGACAAGGGTAAATTGGTCTAAAAGTTTTAGAAAATACATTGAAGGGGTAAGTAGTGGTATATTTCAAATAACAGTAAAATTGAAATGGCATTACTCTAAGTAGATGAATAGTAATGGTATATTTCAAAACCATAAAAGTTGCAATGGCATGGATCTGATTAACCCTAACAAAAAAGGGGGGATGGTCGTAGCTGGTTCCAAGACCATGGGAATACACCAAGGCTGTTTTCGAGAGGAGGGATTGGCCAACACACAAAACAAAGTTCGTATTAGCATAAGATTACTTAAGTATTAACTAAAATAAACTTGAAAATGGATTAATATAATTTTTAAAGCAACTTTTCTATAGAAACTTTTATAAAAAAAAGTAACCCTTAGTAGTTTGGAGAGTATATGCACGTGGAAAATAAGGGAGGTGAGTTGAAAAAAGAGACCGGGTTGTGAAACACAGGAAGTACGAAGTAGTAGTATTTATTTTGGGGTTGAGTACAAGTTATGGTCATGACACTTCACCCTGGAACCTAGTAGACCGTTGGCTCCTATCTTCAAGTGGTGAAGGGGCGGAAGCTATCTTCCTGCGCAAGCTCTCCTCAGCTTTTTTTTTTGCAGTAAGCTTTTTACTTTGTGGTTTCACAAATATGCCATCCGAGTCCCGTGCCGTAATTAATTATAGTTTTTCATTAAAAATAACAACTTTGACATGCAACTCACATATATAATTAAAACAGGCAACTATTCGAGGGATTGAATAATTATGTTTGAGTGTACAACCACACGTACAACCATCTATAGGTTAGATCTCCCTCGAAAAAAAAAAGAATCATACAACGTAGGAGCACATATGGTAGATAGTACAGATCATAGTAGCACACAAATATCCTTTTTCACCGAGATCGTTGTATGGAAATAATTGAGTAAACTAATTAACGCTTAGTTGGGTATCAACGTGTAGAGATGTTCTGGATCGATGCAATTGGATCTCCTTGAAGCCACAATTGTGGTTGTCGCTACAGAGAATCCTCGATCGTCTCTATACAATTCAGCGCTCCCTGTAAAAGTGAAAGACGAATGCTATAGCCATATGTCCAAAAACGACGTAAGTAACGCATACAACATTACTAGCTATCGCTCAAAAGTTAATTAGGCCTACTCAAACCGTGTTCATTCCTGGGAGAAATACTATGGAAGGGGTGGTTATTTTACATGAGACTTTACATGAATTACATCGCAAAGATAAAAGTGGTGTAATTTTTAAGATTGATTTTGAGAAAGCTTATGATAAAGTTAAATGGCCTTTTGTACAACAAACTTTGAGAATGAAAGGCTTTTCTTCTAGATGGTGTGAGTGGATAGCTTTTTTTTGTTCAAGGTGGTCATGTTGGTATAAAAGTTAACGATCAAATTGGTAATGGTTTTCAAACTTACAAAGGTCTTAGGCAAGGGGATCATTTATCTCCTATTCTTTTTAATATAGTAGCTGACATGCTTACTCTATTGATTAAGAGGGCTAAAGAGGCGGGACTCTTGAATGGGGTTATTCCTCATCTTGTTGATGATGGTTTGTCTATCTTGCAATACGCAGATGATACTATCATCTTTTTGGAGCATGACTTGCAACAGGCAAAGAATTTGAAACTGATTTTATCGGTATTTGAAAAGTTATCTGGCCTAAAAATAAATTTTCACAAGAGTGAATTATTTTGCTTTGGTCAGGCAAAGGAATGTTATGAACAATATTCTGATATTTTTGGTTGTAAGTTAGGTACCTTTCCTTTTAAATATCTTGGAATTCCGATGCATTTTAGGAAGCTTTCTAATAAAGATTGGAAACTTATTGAAGAGAGAATTGAGAAAAAACTTAGTAGTTGGAAAGGCAAGCATTTATCTGTTGGTGGTAGGCTGGTGTTGATTAATTCTGTTCTTTCAAGTTTAGCCATGTTTATGATATCTTTTTTTAGGTGCCGAAAGGGGTTCTTCGTAAAATTGATTATTATAGATCGCGGTTTTTTTGGCAAGGGGATGACCATAAGAAAAAATACAGGCTCACTAGGTGGGATGTTGTTTGTCAACCCAAGGACCAGGGGGGTCTTGGGATTCATAATTTGGAGATACAAAATAAATATTTTTTAAGTAAATGGTTGTTTAAGTTAATTAATGAGGAAGGGGTTTGGCATGATTTATTGAAAAGGAAATATCTCTATAATAAATCTATAACCCAAGTTGACAAGAAACAAGGTGATTCCCATTTTTGGTCTGGTCTTATGAATGTCAAAAGTACTTTCTTAAATATGGGTTCTTAAATTGTCAATCATGGGGAACAAATTAGATTTTGGGAAGATAGATGGATTGGTAACTTAGCTTTTAAGGATAAATATCCATCTTTGTACGTAATTGTTCGGAGGAAAACATCTTCTATTGCCACTGTTATGGGATCTGTTCCGCTTAATGTTTCTTTCAGGAAAGCTTTAGATGGTCAGAATCTTGTTTGTTGGCATGAGTTGTGTGCCTCTATAGTACATATTCAGTTGAATGATTCGTCTGATAGTTTTAGATGGAATTTCCATCAGAATGGCTTATTCTCGGTGAGGTCTATGTACCTAGCTTTAATTAATAGTGGCTATATCGAGAGAAACAAGTGTATTTGGAAGCTTAAGTTGCCACTTAAGATTAAAATTTTCATGTGGTACCTGCTTAAAGGGGTTGTGTTAACTAAGGATAATTTGGCAAGGCGTAACTGGAA